CTCGGATGAAGAAGTTAAGGCCAAAACAAATTGCTAACTCATTTTGCGCGCTGATAAAATCCATCCTGAGCATGGCTCTGTGTTTGCTAGGTAACAGACTCCATATTTATCCAATGGGGCTGAATTTTGGATATGTTATAGTATACACCCATTGGAACAACTTTCATGAAGAATATTGCCTCATCCGAGCTATGTAGATTACTGAAACAAAGCTTTCAATATGACCTACGAAACTGGACTGGCAGGGGGCTGTAGCCAAAATGAGTTTATCTTTAAGCTCTTCATCGATTCATCCAAATTAGGCCTTAACATGCTTGAATTGCATGAATTATGCTCTCTTGCTCTTTTTGCCTACAAAACACACAAAGAGAGGCAAATAACATAGAAATCTAGGAAACTAAGCAAAAGAAGTAAGTAAATTTGGGCATGTATATGTATGAAATTATGAGCTTAACAATTCTTCCGCCATTGAGACATCCATGGACCGTTGAGGCTACTACTCCACGCCCTCTCAATGACATCTCTACATTCTGGATCATCCGCCCATGAGGGTTCGAACTTAAATTGTCTTTTACCAAACTTTCCATTTTGAGTCGTTGAGATAAAAATAGGGCAATGATCTGAACCAATTACTGGACAGTGTAAAACCGTGGTGTCTGGCCATCGAGTTTGCCAAGCTGCATTTACTAGTCCCCGGTCGATTGTTTCTTGCACAAAGTGTGTGTTCCTTGTGCCTCTCCAAGTGAAACTCGGACCTCTAAATCCCAAGTCAACAAGCTCGGCCTTCGTAGCAAACTCAAGAAAATATCGGGGTCTTGAGTGGGCAACAGCAGCCCCCCCAGCCTTTTCAAAATGCCATATGAACTCATTCATATCCCCCCCACAGAGCCAAGGATCACTTGTTGCACGGAGCTGCGATCCCATCCACCCCCAAAAGGCTAGTTTTTGCTCTCTGTATGGCGTGCCGTAAATCCAAGACACACAAAAGCAAGAACCATCGCTTAAAGCATGCATCTTAGTGTCAATCAGATTTTCAGAACTAAAAACAACATCCACATTTACAGACTCATCCCACCAAAGGCTAAGCCCACCTGCTAAACCATTTGGGGGGACATTATAACTATTTTGGAAGCCCATTCTGCGTCTAACACGGTCAATTCTGCTGTTCTGCATTTTTGTTTCCATTAAGAATACAGCAAAGGGTCTATGTTTTTTTATAAACCCATGAAGGGCTCGAACTGTCAGGCAGTCCCTAGCCCCTGACAATTCCAGAGGAGGTAACTCATGGCTCCCGTGCGGCTGTTTCAGGCCAGCCACCACCGCCCTGGGAGTCTCCTCCCACTTCATCTGTTGTTTGTTCTCTCACCCTCCTCCAATCTTTAGTTTCTGTAACCTTGACCTCCTGAAGGCTTTCCTCCGAAAATAGATTTCTTCTCAAGGCCTGACCTCTCCTGCACTTTGCTTTTCCATAGGGCTTAACTGTCCTTCTTTTTGACAACCCCGAGCTTTCTTCATGCTGGGAACATTTTGCCTTCTTATCAGGAGATTTGAAATTGCCAACCTCTTCCATTTCAGCACTTCTTTTAAGCCCCATGCTAGTAAACATATTGTTTATCTGACCCACTAGTATGGGGGTATTTTGCTTTAGCCGTGGTCTAAAAGGATTTGAGAACACAGGTTCTAGTTGCAGCTCTCTTCCAAAAGGCCCATCATCAATCCTGTCTTCTCTGTGGCTTGGGCCTGGTCTGGTCCAGTCAGTTATAAAAGAGGCTCCCTTTGTGATTTGGGCCTTCAGTAATTCCATTCTCTCTTCTTCCGAAATGGGCCCCTTCCTGCCTGCAGGCCTAATAAATTCTGAGGGCAAGTTAATTTCTTCTAAAGTTATCGTGCTATTGTATCTTCTTTCTATTGCATTTTCCAACATCTGATTTGTTGCTCCTTGATTCTCGCCTGCCATGAATGTGTGGCTCGAGGGATTTACAGAGTTACTCAGGAGGAGCTGATTTGTTGTGTCTCCATCGGCCTGAGTTACCTCGTGAGTCCCATCTGTTAGCAACAACTAGATTCTTGGGCCGCGTGTCCTGAGAGGACCTGTCAGCTCGCTGGTTTGGTCTCAGCTTTCAGAGGCTATTTCCTTCCTGATCTCACGCGCCTGGTTCCATTAGTTCGTCTCTGATTTGGTGTTGCTGCCGCCCTTCGCTCACCTTGCGGCGCCGATATGGGTTTGGGTTGTTCATACAGCTCTCTGATAACTCTGGCTCTTGTCCAGGTACCATATCCCGCAGCTCCCTCCTTCGCTTTCTCTTGTGGGCATTCAGTGTTGCAGTGCCCAAGTCTACCACAGTTATAGCAGAAATCAGATAGACGCTCGTACTGCAGTTCTGCCCAGGTTTCAGAGCCATCACTGCGAGGGAGCCAGAAGCCCGCTGGAAGGGGCTGGGTGGTGTCTATTTCAACTATGAGGCGCAGGAAACCTCTGGCTTGGCTGGGGTTCTCATATTCCACCAGATCTCCAATTTTCCTCCCAATCTTCATAGCATTATCCTCGGTGCATAGATTCAAGGGAATTCCTTGAACCTGTACCCAAAAAGGGACCAGATGGGTATCAATTTCTTTCACCGCTAGCTCCAATGGCCATCTTCTAACCGAGAAGCAGTGATGCATGACAGACCATGGGCCACGCTCCAGGATCTTCCTTGCCATGTCCTCATCCTGGATAGAGATGGCAAACAGGTTCTCACGTATCCAGGTGATCTTTGCTTCTCTGAACTCTTGCCATGCTGTTTTCAGGATGTTTTTGATAGCCCCACGATTGGGCATCTTGTTTGCTATTACCGCACCAATCAGCTTTGGACCATTTTCCTGTGAGGAGATGCCCAAAGATTCCTCAAGTTGGATTGTCAGTTCCTCTGTGTTGTGTCCTGCCATGTTTGAGTGGGATAAGTGCTCTAGTGGGTTCAAGATGAAAAGAAGTAGCTTGATTGCTCTTAGATGGGCATGTGATTTGAAAATATTGATTGTTATTGCGATGGAAATAGCTATGAGGTAAAGCGAGGGATTTAAGGAGCTGATGGGATTGGCTAATAATGAGTTTGGTATGGTAGTTGGCAAGGAGTTAATGGTGTATCCTGGTATGCAGTTTAAAGAACCTAGGATCCGAGGTTGCTGCCTTGCATTCATGACTGTAGGCCTTCAAATGCCAAGGAAATAACTCTGACCAGGGCTCAAGAAGTGCAAAACCATTAAGTACTTTGACTGACACAATTTCGTAGGTATTGAGTCCTGGTACAAGGTGGGGGAACATGACTAAATGTCCAGGGATGGATTAATTAGAACTGTGGGTGGGTGTAAAGAGTAAATGAAACAGACATAAGCAGATTTGTTTGAGATTTGTAAAGAGTAAATGAAACAGACATAAGCAAATTTGTTTGAGATTTGAGGGACTAAATGCGATGGAGATGGGTCAGGATCTAAGGAACTTGAAAGCAATGGAGGTGGGATGAGATTTGGCAAATTAAAGGCGTTGGAGCTGAGTTAGGAGTTGAGGAACTAATACGCTGGAGATGGGTTGACAAGCAACAGCTAAGACCAAGCTTAGTGTGGATCACCAGGGACGGTGAGGGAGCTCTCACAGAGGAGAGGGATGCTAGGTTGTCTGGTTTTGTATTTGCTCATGGTGATTATGAATTGTGAATTGCATAATACCTTTAATTTGGATTGTGTTTCTTATATGGGTTTCTAATTGCATAATACCTTTAATTTGGATTGTGTTTCTTGAAGCTCAAGTGGGCCAAATTGCAAGCACTCTAAGTGAAAGGAAGAAGGGGAAGTTTCCAAGAAAAGTCAAACTCGACCTAAGAAACATAAAGCAATGCAAGGCCGTTACTACATTATCGAGTGGAAGATAGATAGATAACAAGGTGGGTAACGCCACGAATGAGAAGGAAGAAAGATGACATGGTTGGCCTTCCAACCATGATGATGTCGTGACTTCCACCAAGAAATCAAAGTCCATATTTTAACCAAAACATAAGCAACACACCGACCATGCCCTAGACCTCCATTTCCATCTCGCCTGTCTCTGATAAAAAAGGATCAACAATGGAAAGGTTTCTTTGAAAAGCTTAAAAGGATTTAAATTGACATTCCTCTTTTAGAAGCAATCAAGAAGCTTCTGAGTTTTTCAAATCTTATGAAGGAGTGATTTGCCAACAAAGTCAAGTATAAACAATTTGAGCAAGTCAAATTGTGATAGGACCCGCCCCGAATTCCTTGGAATCCGGGACGAATCCTGTGAAAGTTCCGGCATCAAACCGATGCCGGGCCCACTTACTAAGACACGAGACTTTCTGCCGAATTCGACAGAGTCTCCCTTGAAAAATGGACTTTACCAAAATTTCTCAACCTGTTAAAAACACAATTAATATATCTCAACAGGCAGCATACATCAGATACAATCAAGCATTTTACATCAAAGGCCTCCGGCCTTACAATCAAACCCTAACACGGGCGAGAACAGAGCATATCTAACAGAATTCAGTTTACGAACAAAACGAAGTTCAACATACGTAAAGATAAATAAAGATTGCCCTATAGGAAGTCGGGGCTCGGAAGTTCCGGCTCGACTTTGCCACTCAACTCAGTCAACTACTGTTTAGGGAGCGCAAAACAGAAAAGTGTGAGTGGACAAAAACAAAGTTTAGTTCACCAATGAAAACAACATAGTATAACCCCACCCTTTAGAAAACAATGCTGAAATCATATGCATTCAAACCATTGTAAATATATACATACATAAAGCCACATTAAACCATGGTGAAATCCAATTCTCATCAAGATGTCCAAATACCCATCCCATATAAAACCATTTTTCCAAACCACTCTCTTGAAACGCATGCCCATTGGCAAGGTGAGCGAGGAAGTATCCTCACCGATAAACAAGAACGAATGAATAGGTATACATATAGGTATATATAATATAATAGATATATAAATATATAAAAGTATTACACCACCAAGTTTGTACCGGGGAAACAATCCAACAGGGGATTGTTTGACTAGTCCACATGGAAGAATTCTCAATTGACCATGTGGCTAGGAAACAAGCCGTCCAACTGGAACTAAGCTCACCAGCACGTACAACAGAATCTTTAATACTCGTACGCCTATGACAAGTCTTACGTGCGCAGACTAACCCCGCTAAGGGTCTACGAAACACCCCGTCAAGGGTGCCCGGGTTCCCACATATCCAAGTATCTCAAATTGACATAATCACAGTCCACTCTATTTCCATAATCTTCTTACCAACACCCCACGTACCCCACACATAACTAGGCATAGATAGCAATTTCTCAAAATCCATGTATATATATACTCAAGATACTCAAATACGTTAAAACTCGAATCTATTGCAATTACTTTACGAAAATATCAAGTTCCAACAATTAATTATATATAAGAAATTCAATACATCAATAAATCCATATGCATAGTTTTTCCATCATAAAATAATGCATATCATTTGAAAACAAAGTCCACTCACAAGTAGTCTCACGCTGCTGGACCCTGAGAGGGTCCCGCCTGCTGCGTGCGAGTACCCAGAGTACCTATTTATAAACACGAGCACTACATTAACATAAAGCACTTCGAACGAGAACTTTAAATAAAATCCTAGTTTTCCCGAATTTCAAGCAAGTGTACGAGTCCTAAAGTCCAACTACATGTTTCAGATGATGGGATAGCCTCAGAAGACACTCGGTCAATAGGGCGGTCAAACTTTCCATAATGGGTCAACTGGGCCCACGGGGCCTATGACCTCCAATTTCTGATTCGAAAGTTCCTATGGGTTCAACAAGGTTTAATAAGCATGTCCTGCAAGTTTGGTCCGAATTGAACGATCGAATCAATCACGATCGCATGATCAGACGGTTATCATTTAACGCAAACTTTTAAGTTATTGAGTCGGAACATCCGAGGCTCCGATTCACGATCGCGAATTCCTACACAATCATAGAGATGCCTAGATCAACATATATTGAAATGAAGTCGATCCAACGGTCCGAACCTATCGAACCCGAATAAAGCCTAATATGCGATATCTGATCGATAGTCAAATGATAACCAAATTCAAATATGAGTATACCGTCGTGCTCGGGACGACATGGGGATCATTTTAGAACAAAGAGGGACACATAAACAGTGCCCACGCTCCAGTAGCGCGTGAGTGTCCAAAGTGATTCCGACGATCAGAAAATATTGAAATCATCGGTCAAGACTTATACCTACATGATCAAGACATTGAGTGGAGCAACTTTTGTTCTTGGACCAACCCCAAAAAGTGGCCGGAGATGGCCAAAATCAAGGGCCAAAACTGACCAAAACTTCTATCGCTTATTTGACACTCAAAATGTAGAAATTGATCCTAAACAACCCAACCAGCATCTAGAACACATTGAGAGGATGAAAAAGCATACCTAGTTCGAAGAAATTGGTATCCAGAAACGTCCGAACGAGCGTCAGAAAGTTTACGTAAAAACTGGCAGTATATCTTGTTTTTCCGGCGACCTGGGCAGCGGATCACGGTGGCAAAGGGATGGGGCTGGTAGATGCAGAGGAGTTGGTCCTTTTGGGACCGGTACCAAGCGTGTGGCGGCGGTGACGACGGTAAAACTGTCGCTGCTGTTACAGTCGGGGTAGGGGGGGTTGCATGTGAGGGAGAAAGAGAAAGAGAGAGAGAGAGAGAAATGAGGGATTTCAGATTTTTTATTAAACCCTTTTTGAAATATTTACGATTTTGCCACTACGTTTGTTTTGATCGTAACTTTTTCATTACAACTCCGATTTGAGCCCACTACGTGTCTATGGACTCATCTCCATACGATGTACGTAATGGTACCAGTCACTTCCCCAAAATCCTTTAGGATTAAAAAGTGACCAAAATACCCCTACCACAGGGGCAAAATTGTAATTTCAATATTAACTAATTTAATTAAATTAATGAATAATTATAATTTGGGTCGGGATGTTACAAACTAAATGAAGAAGTTAGTGCGGTGATCGAAAGAAAGTTTCTACCAAAGCTCAAGGATGGAGGAAGTTTTACTATTCCATGCACTATTGATGATATGCGGTTCAAAAAGTGTTTGTTGAATCTTGGATTCGCGGTCAATCTCATGCCATATTTCATTTATGAAAAGCTTAATATAGGCGAGCTCCAACAAGCATATGTTACATTGCAGTTAGCGAATTGCTCCATCAAATATCCAATGGGTATTGTGGAAGATGTAATTGTGCAAGTCAATGGTTCATACTTCCTCGCGGGTTTTATTGTGTTAGAGATGGAAAAAGTTCAAATATCCAAGAGAGCATCCTATTTTGCTTGACCGCCGCCTATTCTTGAGAACGACAAAGACAATGATTCACTTGTGGGAAGGAAAATCACCATGAACATTCTTGAAAATAAAATTGAATTCCAAGTGATGGATGCCCTCACACTCCCTAATGATAGTGATGATTGTTTTTGGATTAATGTAGTTAAAGGTTTTGTGCAAGAAACATTCGAGGCATTCAAGATCCATTGGAAGCATGTCTAGTCCAAGGCAAAAGATGATGATCATGAAAGTCCAATTTCCCAATGGCATGCCTTGCTAAATGCCGCCCCTTATGTGAAAGAGAGATGGCGCCCTACCTATGAGCCTCTCTCCTTGTCCCATTCCAAGCTTGTGCCATCCATTGAAGATTCTCCTATTCTTGAATTAAAACCTTTTCCCGATCATCTTAAATATGTTTGTCTTGGTGATTTTGACACTTTTCCAGTTGTTATAGCTTCAGATTTAAGCGAAGACGAAGAAAGGAAGTTATCACGAGTTCAAAGAGAGCACAAAACCACCATAGCTTGGACTATAGCCGACATTAAGGGGATTAGTCCA